GTCTCCCACTTTCTCTCTCACTCCCCTCCTTCCCTTCCCACTCTCCAGTCTCTTGCTCACCTCTGTCATTCCTCCTGCCCACTCTCTCTCACCCTGTCCTTCCTCCTCCTCCCCTCCTCTCCCATCTCTCCCCATCTCCCACTCTCTCTCTCCCCTCTCTCCCCTCTCCCCACTCTCCCCCACTCTCTCCCCCACTCTCCACCTCTCCCCACCCCACTCTCCCATTCTTCTCACTCTCCCCCTCCCTCCCCCCACTCTCTCTCCCCAATCTCTCACTCTCCCCCACCCACCTCCCCATCTTCCCCACTCTCTCTCACCCTCTCCCCTTCCTCCTCCCACTCTCTCTCACCTCTCCCCTCCCTCATCCACTCTCTCTCACCCTGCCCCACCTTCTTCCCTCCCACTCTCTCACCTCTCTCACTCTCCTCCTCCCTCTCTCTCCCTTCCTTCCTCCCCACTCTCTCTCACTCTCCACCCTCCCTCCTCCTCCTCCCACTCTCCTCCCCTCTCCCCTCTCTCCTCCCACCTCTCCCCCTCCCCCTCTCTCTCCCCTCCTCCTCCCCACTCTCTCCTCTCCCCACTCCTCACCTCTCTCACCCTCTCTCACCTCTCCTCCTCCTCCCCAGGGCGCCGAGAGGAAGACTCGAGACGAGGAGAGGCGAGCAGCCAAGAGAAGAATGGCCGCCACCACGCGCAAGAAATACGAGGATCTCTACCACCAACCTTGCGACCGCTCCGAGTTCTATTCCATGTCGGATCTCACGAAGCCGCCCGTGCTCTTCACGCCGCGAGGACATCGATAAGGTGTTGTGTCGGTTCCTCTTTTTTTTTTTTTTTTTTTGGGGGGGGAATTTTTTGAGTTTTGTTTTGTTTTTGATTTTTTGGGGAGGGGGAGGGGGGAGGGTGATGGGTTTATGGCCTTGTTTAATTGTAATAATCTTTTGAATTGTGTTTTGAGTTTTTTTCTCCTCTTTTTAATGTGTGTGCTGTGATGATGAGGATGATGATGATGATAATTTTAAGGATAATGGTAATGGATGATGATGATGATGATAATGATTTTAATGATAATGATAATGGTAATGGATGATGATGATGATGATGACGATAATGATAATTTTAATGATAATAATAGTGGTAATGGATGATGATGATGATGATGATGATGATGATGATGATGATGACGATAATGATAATTTTAATGATAATGATAATGATAATGGTAATGGATGATGATGATGATGATGACGATAATGATGATTTTAATGATAATGATAATGGTAATGGATGATGATGATGATGATGATGACGATGGTGATGACGATGATGATAATGATAATAATAGCAATAATAAATCCTTAATGACATCCTTTTCTTGCAGATGTCGATGGAACTCCAAGGTTTCTACGGACACGACACAGAAAATGGGCAAGTATCTACCTCTAATATAAATAAAATCGATTTTCTTGCAGTATTCAATCGGTACTGAAGCTGCTAGGATTAGGAAGCAATCATTTGGACGCTAGTTTTTAAAAAGAAATCAAGTTCTATGATATATCTGTTTTATTTTTTATTCATTCCAGACTTTTTTTTCTTTTTAATTATTCCCGCTAGATAGTCGTATTAGTGGTCAGTTTAGTTTTGAGGTTATGTGAGAGTAGCTCCTCCTTTTTTATTTTATTTTCTCGCGTTTATTTTTTTTTGGAAATCATGTTCTTAATCAGAATATCGATCTTTCTCTCCTTCTTTCCTCTGTCCCCCTTCAAATAGCACTTGCATGATTGCATGTTGGCACGAAAATACCCGAGGATAAGCAGTGTTTTCTGTTTATCGTCGTAACCGCTCAAAATAAAAAAAGAAAAGAAAACGAGAATAAGGCCACGCGAGGGTAGACTCAACCATTTTTTTTTCTCGGTTCAGATATGGAATTTAATGCAGGGAATGACAGTATAGTAATGATGGTGCTACTGCCTCTGTTGTGTATTTATTTTGGGAGCATTGTTTTTTTTTTAACTAAGCGAACTAGTGTTTATGAATTCTTTAACAAGAAAAGCGAAAAGGTCCTAAAAGTGAATCACAAACGAGGCAGTAGCACATGCGGCTTCAAGACTGATGCTGAATCCATTAATTTTGCCCCATATTTCCTATGCTATAGATCAGTCGGGTGTTTGCAGGGATTATGTAGTCTTGCTACGGAGCCTGAGCCCTCACCTGCCGCCACCTCGATGACCTCTGGCACTGTGATCTTGATAAAAAAAGAAAAGGCTTAGAAGAAAAAAATGATGGCTGGTTAATGCGACCACCGCAAACTGTCCATTTTTATTTTATTTATTTTTTACTTTTTTTTAATGTTGTCCAATAAAGATTGAAACTCTTAAGACATAAGTGATTGATTAAGAAAAAAATTGCAACCAGGTGAGGCATCGGTTGCCAAGTTCAGAACAATTATAGGTCACGTGCAGATATTCGAGCCTGTAACCCCTTCAATTGAGATAAAGGCGCATTAAGCCTCGGGGATTTAAAAGCAAAAAGTTGGACATAGAGCCTCATGCCTCGCACTGACCTGGAGACGAGAATTTACGTAAATTAGTCATGTCGGAAGCGCAATGACCCGGAGGTATGACCTGCCGAGGGCGTCCCGCTGGCCCCGCGAGGTCGTCGAGGAGGCGGCAGAGGTGACGGGCGGCAGCAGTAGAGGTGATCGTGACGTGTGTTCTCCCCTCCCCCAGTGGCTGCAGTGTGGGGGTTTCGGGGGCTGTAGGAGTGGAATGTTCGCCCCCCTCCAACCTCTCCCCAGCACGTCTTCCCCACAACCCCAGGACGCTGCATGTCCCCTCCGCACAGCCTCGACCCCCCGCCCCTCCTCCTCCCTGCCTCCTCTCCCCAACCTCGAATATCCTATCCACCACCACAAATATCACCCAGTTTAGCGCCCCTACAGGTCCCCCTCCCAGCGCCGTCTCGCCAAAAGCAACAGCAGTAGCTACAAGTTCCACTACAGCTTCCCACAACCCTATGGGTAAGACACGCCCCACGCCGCCCACACCCACACTAACTGGACAAAGATAACCCCCTCTCCACCTGTGATGACCCCATGTCAAGACCCCCTGCTCCCCCCCCTTCCACTGTGTCTGCTCTGACCTCCCCCCCTCCCCTAGCCCCTCCCCCCCTCCTCCATTCCTAATCCACGAACTTTGTCCTTCCTACTAATTCCCAACCCCCTGTCGTTTGTCTGTCTGTATGTGCTTCGTCCGTGACACTGACCCCCCCCCCCCCCCTTGCTTGCTCTGCAGCCAGCACACCCACGGCAACTCCCTGTGTTTTACTTACATGTATACAGCTCATACACATTTGCCTCATACACAGACACAAACCCTGTCACACACGCACACACAAATATAAATGCACGCACACACACACTCTCTTTCTTTCACTTACTCTTCTGCTCTCTCTCTCACCTTTATTTATACTCACATTCATACCCACACATGCACGTATACAAAGGTGCGTACACATGTACACGGACAAAGAATCAGACACACACACAAGAAAAAATACACTCACACACACGCTAAAGACTTCACGCTTATACACAAGGACACACTGTATATTCACTACAAAGAGACTTGCATTTACAAACGCTGCTTTAGCTAACACAATTATACGGGCCAATTCAATTAGAAATACGTTTAACTGTTTAGGAAAACACTGACATACCCAAAACGTGATTTCTTCATACCAAGCGTTGCTACTTCTCCTCTTCGGTGGACTCCATTATAAACTTGAGTATCCACTTACACCATTTTTGAATATACAGAATTAAACGGTTATGTTTTGCCTCCAGATTCGATTTCACTTAGTCTCGATGGTCCAGTTTACGTATACTACACCTTCAACATACTCTCTCGGTTACACATCACATTGTTTATATGGGACACAAAATATTGACATGTCTTTTCAACGACTACACGATACGTACATAGATAAAGTAAGTCCAGAAACTAAAATAAAAATGACAAAAAGGTACAAATCAAACATTCAGGTAAAAGATCCTTGTATTTACTCACAGACAATTCACCTACAGAAAAAAAAAATACATATACATATATCATGTATTCTTCCCACAGTTCTCACGCAGCACATGATCTAAATTGCAATGCTGCTTGACCTCATCCCATGCACATAGCTCCTGCCAGATGCATAATGCTTCTCCTACCAACATATCCTAAACCTCTGCAACATATATTGGGTGTTGTGGCAGTCTGTATATTATGTGATTCTAAAAGCCTATGTCTTCTCTCTCTTTAGCTAACACTCAGGATGCGATGTGTACAAGGTATGTACATATCCTCATGTGCGTGTAAGGTGCATGGAACCACATGTCCACACAGGTACTCTGACCACATGGCATATGGATTGATTTGTTGTAGATTAAAGATTGGAGCTTCAGAATCATACATGTTTTTCGTTTAAAGTATTGTGATTAGAAATTCGTGTTGAATCATATATACATATATATATATATATATATATATATATATATATATATATATATATATATATATATATATATATATATTCTTTTTAGAATGTGAGGATGTTGTAAGATGATTTACGATTGGTACAAAAACCCACAATGCACAAACTAGATATATTGTGCATTGTGGGTTTTTGTACCATAGTATCAACACGGTATTGTGTTTTTCTGTTCATGATTTACGATTGTTTATGGGTAAACGTGTCCGTGTAATTGCAAATATTTCATCGTAAAGAGATTTCAGCTGTTTATGTACATGTGTAGCATTCTGTGTCAATTCATACATGAAAAGGAACAACACACACGCACACGCACACGCACACGCACATGCACCCACGCCATGCAATAGACCTAGTAAAGAATGACTCTTTATCTGCTTTTCTGTCTATTTCCTCGAAGTTAAGATGGAAATAGTAGACCAATTATTAAGTGAATGAGACCCAGTATGCTCTAGATTTGAATGCAAATATCATTTTCTTATTTTTTTCTCTCCTTCTCTTTTTTTCCTTCCTTTCTTTGAAGTCATGTCATTTTTATTATCACAATTTCGTGCTGGACGGCCTAGAGACTCAGAAATTTGTCAAGATGATTCCTCTCCTCTTTCGTTTTGTTTACAGTTCGTCCAGCATGAAATCTTGACGTGTTTTTTCGCTAATAATTCGTTCCAGGAGTAGGTGGCAGCTTTCCGTTGCACTGGCAGTCATGTTGCACTCTCAGACCTTGCACAGTCTAAAGAAATCCCAATTGTCAGTGCGTATTTATTGTCTTTCTGTGACGTCAACATTTTATTCCATTTGTGTATTCTCGTCGTTTCCGTAAATGATTCCAAAGTCAAGAAGAAGCATCATTCTGACTCATTTTAGTAAGCATTCATTCAACGAGTGCGTCCCCCTCCCGCACCGAAAGATATTTATTTTGAAAAAAAAAAGCAAGAGAAAAAAAAGTCAAAACAAATGAAGAACGAGTTACATAAAGAACGTGAAAAAGAAAAAAGAAAAAAAAAATCATCTTTCACTTACAATCCCTCATCTTCATCTCAATCTACTTCCCTCGTGCTCTTCTCCCCATTGTATCACCCACCCACCCCCACCCCCGCCCCCTCCCCCCTCTAACCTCACGCCCTCCCCCACCCCCTCCCCCACCTCTTTCATTCCTCATTCCCCCTTCCACCCACAGGGACGGCCGCAAGGAGCTGACAGCCGGGCTCCCCAACGGGTCCCTGGACAGCCCCATGGCCGACGTCTTCTCGCACGTGTCCAAGCGGTCCCGACTCACGCCGCCCCTCACCGAGAGACTAATGCTGTATGTGAAGCAGGACGGGGAGGAATACTACACCCCGCTCCACCTCGTCCCGCCCTCCACGGTGGGGCTGCTGTCGGCGGTGAGTAGGCTATGGGGAGAGCTGGGGGGAGGGGAGTTGGGGAGGTGAGACGGGATGGGATGGGAGGGACTTCTTGGAGAGGGAGGAAGGGGGGAAGAGGTGGGGGAGGGGAGAGGGGGGAGTTCTTGGAGGGGAGGAGGGAGGAGGAGAGGTGAGGGAGAGGGAGAAGGGGGGAGGGAGGGGAGGGGAAGGGAGGGGGGGGAGGGGAAGGGGAGGGAGGGGGTGGGAGGGGGCTTCTTGGAGGAGGGGGAGGAGGGGCAGGGAGGAGGAGGGGGGGGGAGGGAAGGTGGTGGGAGTGGACTTCTTGGAGGGGGAGGAGGGGAGGGGATGAGGGGATTTCTTCGAGAGGGGAGCTGGGGAGGAGGGGAGGGGAGGTGGAGGGGATGGGAGGGAAATGGAGGGGAGGGGGGGGGAGGGGGGGAGGGGTGGTAGGTGGCCGGGTTGGAGGAGGGGAATAGGGGAGGGAGAGAAGGGAGATTTGGGGAAAGAGGAGAAGGATTTCTGGAGGAGGGAGAAAGAGGGAGAAGGTGGGGTGGGAGGAAGAGGAAGAGAAGGGTGGGCGGGGAGAAGAGAGAGGAATGAGGAGAAATGGAGAAGGAAAGAAAGGGAGGGAAGGGAGGGGATGAGAGGAAAGGGGGGACAGAAAGTCAGTTTTCATCGTCTGTCGTTAAATTAATCCAATGTCATATTTGAATATACTTTTTACGATAGGAATTTACTATCATGAACACTCATATCTACATCTCATCTCGCACTTAACCCAACCAGTTTCGAAATGCTGTTGCTTATATAATCCATCTTTTTGTTCCCAGTCAGACTATAGTGCAATCTCCGAACGCCATGTTATCGCTTCAAGACAAATTCATTTCTCTTTCTTTCTTTTTTCGCAGATCGAGGAAAAGTACAAAATCCCCATGCAGAGTATCAAAAATGTGTACCGGAAAAATAGAGTCGGGTAAGTATTCATTGACTCTGGCTGGGTCTTCTCATATTTAAAAAAAATGACTGTTGATATGTGGATATTGGTGACGTGCAATAGGTGTCATTTTTTTTTCCTATAATTTTTCTCTCTCTCTCTCTCTCTCTCTCTCTCTCTCTCTCTCTCTCTCTCTCTCTCTCTCTCTATATATATATATATATATATATATATAATATATATATATATATATATATATATATAGTGTGTGTGGTGTGTGTGTGTGTGTGTGTGTGTGTGTGTGTGTGTGTGTGTGTGTGTGTGTGTGTGTGTGTGTGTGTGCATATATATTTATACACATGTATACATCCCTCTATGCCTTCCCCCCGCCCTCCCCGTCTGACATCCCCTTTACTATACTTTCCTATAGTGCTATATGACCTTAGATGTCTAGCACATTTATCTTGGCCATTAACCATTAACCTCCCCGCAGCGTGATGGCCAATGGACGACGAGATGCTGCGCCACTACTGCACGAGGACATCTTCCAAATGGAGGTCCAGCACCGGGACGCAGAGAGCTACGACCTCACCCTCACCGAGCTCGCGCAGGTGGACCACTGAGGCTCGCGCGCTAGCCTCCGTCTCCCCCCCTCTCTCTCTCTCTCTCCCCTCCCCCCCCCCCACCTCCGCAAGTCCCCCTCTCTTTCATTCACGCCGATAAAAGGATAAATGGATAGACGGATAGACGGATCACCCCTTCTGCCGTCCCCCGTGGTGAGGGCGGCATCTGCGACGCGGGATGAAGATGGAAGAGGAATGGAGAAAGAAGGAAGGAAGGGAGGAAGGAAAGGGTCAAGACTGGAGTGCGGGATGGAGAGGAAGGATTGGAGTTGGGAAGGATTCGATGGTGGAGTGAAGGGAAGGATGGAGAGTGAATTGTTTTTCTTTTTTTGCTTCTCGGAGGATTTCTCTTCTCTCTCTCTCTCTCTCTCCTCTCCTCTCTCTCTCTCTCTCTCTCTCTCTCTCTCTCCTCTCTCTCCTCTCTCTCTCTCTCTCTCTCTCTCTCTCTCTCTCTCTCTCTCTCGTCTCCTCTCTCTCTCTCGCTCTCTCCTACTCCTCTTCTCCTCTTGTTCTTGTTCCTTCTTCTTCCTCCTCCTCGTCCTCTTTGTCCTCCTCCCTCCTCCTCCTCCCTCCTCCTCTCCTCCTCCTCCTCCTCTCCTCCTCCTCCTCTCCTCCTCCTCTCCTCCTCCTCCTCCTCCTCCTCCTCCTGATTCCCCGGCGTCCCAAGAGAAGACAAAACCCAAATCCGAGGAAGGACCCGCCCGGGGGGACGAGGCCTCCCCCCCCCTGCGGCCCGAGAGGCAAGCGGCAGGAACCCGCGGCGCAGAAGAGCTCAGGGGAGCCCAGAGGCGCGAGGACAGCAAGGAAGCGAAGGAAGGCGTGGGCGGCGTCCTCCGAGGGGGACCCGCCCGCACGCCCGAGTCACACGACGTTGGACAGAGAAGAGAAATGAAGCAAATGGAAGAATCAAGGCGTATTGTACAAAAAAAGAAGAAGAAGCAAAAAAAAAACAAAGGAATTCTTTTGCCTTCCCGTGAGGTGACCTCCGAGGCCCTGCACCACAGCCGCAGTCTCTCGCACGACCCGCCAGAGGTCAGAGGTCAGGTGGCTGCGCTGCTGACCCCGGCTGGATGTCAGAAGAGGGGATACACTCTTAAAGGGCTCTCTGGCACTCGTCGGCTGGCACTCACACATTCCAAGCTGTGTTAGATGCGGTTATCATTATTATTATGGATAATGGTATTGTTATGTTATTATTGCATGGCCGGTGGTTCACCAATGATTGTGTATATGTAGACTTCTAGAATCAAATTTATTCTAATATACGCGGAAGACATAGTTGTAGTACAGTTTACAGGGTATCTAATGCCTAATCGAGTTTAGATTTGTTTTTAGTTCTTAAATTATTCACGTACCGAGTTTATCTCTATAAACATCTCTTGATCAGCGGAGAAGCAGAGCTCAGTTTAGTTTAGTGGGCCTGTGCATGGCGTCACCCGGGATCCCGTTTTCTGTGGACGATTCTGCTCGTGTTTGTGGAATAAGCGACCACGTGGGATGCCTTTCTCTCTCTCAGATCAAATCTGTTTTGACGCGCGAGGCTAAAAGCAGCGCCCGTCCCCACAACTTAGTGCCTCTGCCGAGCGTCATGACAGGGCCATACTCTTGCCAACGAGCCTGTTTTGAGTGCGTCTTCCACGATAGTGCCATATTAAAGGGGCGATGATGATACGCCCCATGATGCCCAGTGGGTCTCTCTCTCTCTCTCTCTCTCTCTCTCTCTCTCTCTCTCTCTCTCTCTCTCTCCTCTCTCTCTCTCTCCTCTCTCTCTCTCTCTCTCTCTCTCTCTCTCTCTCTCTCTTCTCTCTCTCTCTCTCTCTTTCTCTCTCTCTCTTTCTCTTCTCTCTCTCTCTCTCTCTCTCTCTCTCTCTCTCTCTCTCTCTCTCTCTCTCTCTCTCTCTCTCTCTCTCTCTCTCTCTCTCTCTCTCTCTCTCTCTCTCTCTCTCTCCTCCTTCTCCTCTCCTTCTCCTTCTCCTTCTCCTTCTCCTCTCTCCCTCTCTCTCCTCTCCCTTCTCCCTCTCCCTCTCCCTCTCCCTCTCCCTCTCCTCTCCCTCTCCCTCTCCCTCTCCCTCTCCCTCTCCCTCTCCCTCTCCCTCTCCCTCTCCCTCTCCCTCTCCCTCTCCCTCTCTCTCTCTCTCTCTCTCTCTGGGCTCACCATTCTGCAGGTTGAATGCATGTGCCACTGCCGTCCTCCAGGAGACGTAATCTATTCGGTCCATGCTGTCATTTATTATTCACAAATCTCATCATCTCTGCTTTTACTGCTTTCTAACTCTGTCTCTCTGTCTGAATCTCTCTTTCTCTGTCTCTCTCTTTGACTCTCTCTCAATCTCTCTCTTTGACTGACTCTCTCTCTCTCTCTCTCTCTCTCTCTCTCTTCTCTCTCTCTCTCTCTCTCTCTCTCTCTCTCTCTCTCTCTCTCTCTCTCTCTCTCTCTCTCTCTCTCTCTCTCTCTCTCTCTCTCTCTCTCTCTCTCGTTCTTTTTCTCTCTTTATTTATTCTTCTGTTCTTCTCTACGTTCTATCATCGCATTCCCTCCATTTTCTCTCATCTTTTCTTCCTTTCTCTCAACGTCTCTCCCTTTTCCTTCTTCTGTCAGATCTTGGATTGTAATTTCAGACACATGATTTGATTTCTTTTTTTTTCTTTATCCTTACTTTTCCCTTTCTCTCTTTCCTTCCGTCTTTCTTCCCTTCTTTCATTTTCTTTCTTTGCTTCCCTCATTCTTTTCTTCTTCCTTTCCTTCTTTCTTTCTTTCCCTTTTTCTTCACCTTTCACATTATCTTCCTTTTGACCTGAAATATTTTCCTCCTTTTTTGCCATAAATATTTTCCTTTTTTTTCCTGAAATATTTCACTCATTTCCCTTAAACATCTTCCTTCTTTTACCCTTAAATTCAACCCAGAAGTTATCAAACAGTGTATTGTTTCCAAACCTATATAAATGATGAATTGCGCAGGAGCTGGAAACTAATTTATGATTGTATCTTTAATATTGCTGTGTGTTTACATAATAAAAGACTGTAGATTTAGTTTCATAAGTAAGCCTAGGATTAGCTGATTTTTTTTTCGATTTTTTTTTCACGATTTTTTAAATCTTTTTTTTTTTGTCTCATGCTTAATTTTTTATTCCGGCATTGACTGTTACTAATCATTTTTTTCCCAAAGTCTAGACCTGTCAAGGCTCAACTTGTAACTTGACAGCTCCTTGACTAGTTGATTGTCATCCAGTACTGCAATCTTTATATTTTTTTCTCTCTATGATTAATGTCTGAATTTTTATATACAAAATAGGCCTAATAATATGTACATAGGAATATTGCTTTAATTATGTGTGGTTTTAGCATAATATATATCATTAGATATAAGTTTGTATGTAAGTGTGAGGTACTGATCATTTTGTTGAAGAAGTTAAAAAAAAGATCTTTTGTTACTATAGTATTTTAAGGAGATGACTATATTAGTGTGTGTATATAAGTAGACTGTGGGCTCGCAGTTCCCACGCCGCAGCAGTAGGCAGCTTGTAGCTTCCCGGTGTGTAGGCCAAAACCAACTGTATCTTGGACTTGGTTAGTTGGAACCGTTCTTCTGAGGGAGGGACTGGCACACCAGCTGTTCGTCGGGAGGTTGGAGAAATGTTTTTTTTTTCTCTCTCTCTATTTCTCGTTCGATTTCTCCTCCACGCCACGACTCTCGTTAACGAATATGTCTTTCACTTCAATTTTTTTTTTTTTATATATATATAAAAACCTTGACGAACTCCACAAAAGTACAGACCTGATGTATGTGTATATGGATGAATGTTCAATCGAAAGCAAAAAAAAAAAAAGGAACGAAATGATCTGATTTTTGTTCTCTCTCTCTTTTTTAAGTAAAAGAAGAATAAAATGAAAGTATAATGTAGATGGAATGATTTTTGCTGTTGTGGCATTGTAGACTGTAAATCGTGTTGGATTATAATACTTTGACCAATTTTTTGAAACATTTTTGATAGGAGAAACATGACGGTTCGCCTAAGTATATAGATATATATACATATATGTCATTTTCACGTGACATATTGACCAGCTCTCTCTTAGCATGCACTGGTTAGTTTTTTTTCCCAATGCTTCTCAATATATATATATTTTTCATTGTCATATTGACACGCTTAATTTTAAGTCATGTTTATATTATTATATTTATGGTTAGCGTGAGATAAGAAGAGTAGATAACATAAAAAGTGAATCATAAGTCGCTTCTTAATCTTTAAGGGAACTGAATCAGTGCATATATTTTGTTATGACCTAATATATTATTATTATCATTATTTCTGACTCCTGAGTGACTTAAGCTGTGAGGAAAGGAGGAAGGAAGAAGAAAGCGAAGTCGGAGACCACTCGTTCGGACGAAGGACATCCGGTCGCCTTTCCCTTAGGGTTTTCCCGGGAATTTCGTTTCGCTGAGAGACGACTTCGCTCTCTTCGCTGTGCTCAAACTTTTAGCTCTAAAGGACCCAGATGTGTGTGTGTAGAAGCGTATATATGTGTATATGTGTATAAATATATATGTGTGTGTATATATATATGTATATATATATATGTATATATATATATATATATATATATAATATTATATATATATATATATATATATATATATATATATATATATATATATATATGCATGTATGTATATATCTGCATGTATGTATATCTACATATACACAGTGCTCAAAGCAACGCGAAATTGGCTTCCCGATCTGCAACTGCCGTCCACTTAGTTCCAAGTCTCTTTAGTCAAGGAAGCGAGCAGAGTTTCCGTGAAGTGTCAAGTGGAAGCGACAGAGTGTGATGTTCTTGTGATGTGAGAGAAACTCCTTGATATGATATGATTGTTGCAGGTTTGTGTTCTCATGGAAGGGGAGTAAAGCCCATTGAATAAAGGAAAGGAAGAAAACACAAATTAGGTTTTTATTTGTATTCGGATTTTTTTTTTCTCTTTTTTCGGCATTGGAAGACAGCCAAATGAAATTCCTTTTTTTTTTTTTTTTTTTAGAAATAGC